TTCCACTGACATGAGTAATCTTGTCTGATGAAGGCACGAGAGTTGATATATTAGATGTGGTATTAGCTTCACTGAAATAGTGAGTGCATGCGATTCCTAATTTTTTTAATAAATGAGAATTGAGTCCAAGGTGAATTTCGTTATTTTCATTTAACTTTTCTCCACTATCACGTTCTCTTCTTTTGGTTAGAAATAAAATAAATATTCGTGCAGAACAAGATGTATCGATTTTGTTTGAAAAGATGATGATGGAATACAGTGAGTTATACTAATGTCTGTGAAGAGTTTGTACATTGCGGAATATATTTAATTAAATATATTTATATATCAATAATTGACGCATCTCTGATAAAATCTGTAATACGAAGATATGTATTGGAAAATATTCAACATGTAAGAATACTTCTAACACAACCTGGATCTCGACGGTGTACCAAGTATTTGCTTCAAAAGAGGACTGATATTTTTCGTTATCCTCTTACCCAAATCTTTAATGCAACATTTTACAGAGATACAATGCCTGTCGTCTGGAAAGAAATAAAGGTGGTGCTTGTACCAAAATGATATTCGGGACCAGATCTAAAGTTTGGGCCAATCGCCACCATGTATCCATTTTTGAAAATCACGGAGAAACTTCTCTGCCATGTTCCGAAACCTTCTTTGAAATGTTTCAATGACCCAAAGCAGTTTGCTTACGAATGCAGTAGAAGCACATTAGATGCTATTACAGCACTCCAGTAATATATCGCTTCAAATCTTGCGAAATGCGCTAAGCTTGTTAGAGCCTCCTTTCTGGACTACACCGCTTCTTTTGACTCTATTCCTAGAGCACTTTTACTTGGCTGGCTGATTTCAACGAACAGTGAATTCCGGGTCACAAGATGGCTGCCTTTATTTCTGAATAGAAAACAACACACCGTTTTATAAGGGAAGTGCTCCACTTCGCTCCTAACGGAAACTGGTGTGCCTCTCTCTTCATTCCTTTATTCTTCTTTTTTGAATAACCTCCCGTATCCTTCCCAAGCTAACTTCCTTGAATATGCCGATCATCTAACCATTTCTGTCTCAGTAGTTTCTGCATTGGATTGTTCTTATATGAATAGATTCTTATCTGAAGTCAACAGGTGGTCTCACTTAAATGGTCTTAACCTAAATCCATCTAAATGTCGTATCGTTGATTTTAGTTTCAGATCCATACAAGACTTAAGTGGATTGATTCAGCTTCATGATTCCTTGTAATATTGATGGCAATGTGATAGGGAGTAAATCGATTGTCTCTCCACTGGACATCGGTTTCCCTTCGAATCTATGTTGGTCTTCTCATGTCCTTTAGATTTCTAATAAAGTTTTTCGTTTGACTGATTGCATTAAGAAGTTGAAATTTTCTGGCGTAACTCAACATCTCCTCTTACAATTTTTTTATTCGTGTATTCTGCACATTCTCTTTTATTGTTCGCCCTATTCGTTCTTCCCTGGACTTCTCAAAAAAGACTATCTCATTTCATGTAGAACACTGAAGACCGTAAGAGTAAGGTTAGTAGTGTGCCTCTGATTCAACAGTTAGACATTATTGTCAATAGACACTCCAATTCTTGCAAGCATTTGGCTAAAGTCATCTTGTCTGATACTGAACATCCTCTCTACTTATTCTCACCTTTTGCCTTGTATATCTTCGGCTGAAACCAGAAGCAACTTCATAAAAAGCATTTATGCTCGTACAGCTACTAAATATAAAAAGTTCTACTATACCACCATATTTAGCACGGGTTTTGTGTGAAGAAAGAGTCAAGTGTCAGAAATGAAATTATACACTTTTTAAATCAGTCGCTGAACTGCAAAGTATGAGCAGAGATTATTATTACAATGTATTATCTGTGACACTATCTGCTTATACTTCATTGTGTTTCCACCAACATTCTCTTTATAGTGGTGATTCCACTATTGATTTTATGACTACTATTTTAAATTTTATGTATGTACATATTTGTAAAAGGAGCTAAATTGTTGCAATCAGTGTAAAAACTCTGAGAATTCCATTCTGTGCAATGATTCATTATTGTTTTGAATAAAATGATTATCATTATTCCTGTATCGAATGCCATTACGTAGAGGGAAGTGAAGTGTTAGATTGTCTCATCATAAGGCATTGCAGGACAGATGTTTGCCTCACAGCCCTGTACGATATTTCTTGGTGGAGGTCAAGAAGATTTACTCGAATGATACAACAAATAGAATCTTACGAGATCTGACAAATATTCCGAGAGAGAGAGAGGGGATGAGCGCCTAATTAATTTCACATGGAACAGTAAAAGGCTTATATGAGCACTAAACTCAAAGGACAGTCAGGTCAGGCTACAATCCGAGGAAAGAATGATGTGACAACTATTATCACAAGGAGGTTCAATTCTGTCTGAAAAATACATTTTCTGCAGTTGCATTAGGAATAACTTTCACATCTATCTGTAGTTACCTAACTGTTATGTTTGAAGGATAGGATGTCTAATGCGTGTGTACCAACGTGTATTTATCAACTGAAGTGTTCCTGTGAAGTCTGTGAAAAAAATCAATCGACAAACAAGTAGAGGTCATCTCCCATTCAAAGAGTTTATCTTATACAAAAGACTACAACTGCCAACGCACCAGTCGATTTAAATTCATTTCAAGGAAGGATAAAATTATTCTTCTCTTCACCCTTTTTCATATTTCTGTTAATTACTATTACAATTTGTTTTCTGAGAAATTTTGTTGATATATACCTTACTGCATATATAATGTTGTGTAAACACAACACAACTGTACAGAAGTCAACAGGGTATAAAGAAAACAATTGAGATATAACTGAACTATTTATTCTGGAAAATTCGATTGATTTTTTTGCTGTATTCACGCTGTATTCTTCATGCGTGTTTAGTCAATATCCTTTTCTCAAGCATATTGAAAATAGCACCTATTTTTTATTTATTTACCAAGAATTAATCTTGTTTTGATTGAATATTTTCTTGAATGTCCTTTAGAAAATAAGCACAGTTCAAAGTGTGTGTGTGTGTGTTATTTTCCAATTTGCAGTAAGCGGGTAAACATTTATTAAAGTGAGATTCAATCATTTTAGAGAAGGAAATATTTATCAACTGTGAATAAAGTCGATTTGAATCCTCAACAGAATCAGATAGAATTTAAGAATTCAAACAAAGCAACAACGATATACATTCAGTAATTTTCGTGAGTTAGAATTGATGTATACTATGCGAAAGAATATATTTCATATATTATTCCTAGTAATAATCACCATTATATTTACAAATGTTCATGAAAGCGTTAGCTTTTATATTTTATGCAGTAGTCATTTTGTGTTAATATTATGGAGAGTATAAACACGAATTATCAAATTCTTGGCTAGTGATTGTCTAAGGATGATGATCTTCATCGTTGGAGTGCGAGTAATGACTTTCTATGAAATATGTCAGCATTATTATTATTCCCTTGAAATCCCAGTGAAATGTAACGCTTCAGTGCCACACGTCTACTTCGTCATGTTCTCTATAGTCTCCTTTAGAATGACCCCATGATTGCTCCTGATCTTTCTTCTTCTCCTTATACGTTCTCCTGTATGTCACCCTCGGACCGATATCCAGCTCGTTGTTTCCCATCCAGATTAGACTAAAGAGAAGACCTCGTGTGTGACCTCACTCAGTGGTATCTTCAGCGTGTCCAATTCATCACCATTTTCTTCTGCATATTTGTAGAGTAATAGGTGTTTGATTGGTTCGTCTCTTGGGTTTCTTTTCGCATTTCTTTTCGTGTATTTGATCATCAATACGGAGCTACCGAAGAAGGCTGCTGATAAAAGCCTGCACCCTGTTAGAAATGCTTTTCGTGACACTTGTGCCAAGTTTCTGGCCCACATAGAAGAATTGACCTGACTTTGGTGTTGAAAATCTGATTTTCATTGTTTATGTTGTGGGGTACAGAGGATTGCTGAACTGATCTCCGAGTGATCGGGGTCTTCCTTGCCTTTCCAATTCTCGTTTTGACATCTTCATCCGTTCAGCTTGTAGTTGAAACTATGCTCCATAGATGATAAGTGAAGGAAGTAATCCCTTTCAATTTCTTTTCACTGGTAGTAATTATTGATCGTTGTGGTTGGCTGGCTATCTTCATTATAAATTTATGTGTTATCCGTGTTATGCAAGATACTTGTTGAATGTTTGCGCACTTTGCTACACTGATAGGAATCATACATTTCGCGACCAACCTAATAGATTGTTGAGATATGCCGGTAGCGTAATCATGTCACTATCATCCTTCATGTATATCCAATTTTCTGGTCATTTACGTAGAGGACTATGGGAGATTTGGTGAGCCCAGGATATCCGTTGATACACAGAATAGATGAGAGGCAATGCAGAACACCACTGCTATTCAGAACGAGAGTCTGGAGTTGATCCTCACTCTCTGTCACCTACAGACGAGTAATTTTTTTAACTGAGTTAACTAAGCTGCCAGTGATTCATAGACATGCCATTTTCATGAATAATCTTGACTGTATGATAGAGAAGATTTGCAGCTCAGGTGGATAATTTTGATGTGGTTTTGTTCTCTGAGCTGGATAGTTAGTTTGCGAAGCTTTCATCACCTTACTGGGTGACATCTTCAGCGTATACTTCAAATTGAAGTATGCGCTGAAGATGTCACCCAGTAAGGTGATGAAAGCTTCGCAAACTAACTATCCAGCTCAGAGAACAAAACCACATCAAAATAATCTTGACTGTCTATGGAGAAGGAATGAGACTTGATATATTATAACCGGTATAAATTTTCCTGAAATCATAAGTGTGTGCGATCTGCAATATTGATGTGATACGACAATAGAAAAGCAGATTTCTTTATTTTCATTTCTTTTTGCTAAGTTATTCTGTTATTTCTGTATGTAGTGTTGTACAGTCCTCAAAGATAATATCTACCCTTGTTATAGAATTTAGTGTCAACTTTCTCTTTAACAGGCAATGCTACTTATCAATAAAGTGTTAACTTTGTGGACAATATGCTGCATACTCTTATTTTCACAAATTCCACAGTCCAATGGGATTATAATCAGCAATTGGTTGATTGTATTGATACCAGTGTGCTTTGTGGATTTTATTCTACTCATCACAATTATACTGTTCATGTCTGGAAGGTATGTGATCATCAAATTGTCAAGTGTTAATGAACAGATGTGTTTTTGGCGTTTCCGTCTCACTTGGGCTCACTGTATTTCCTATTTGTACATTTTAGACTTCCTGAAATATTTGGTGATTGTGATGCTGGGAGTAAACTCAATCAGACATTGACATTGTGTTTTATCCTGTGGAAATTGGCTGGACAGATTGTTCTTTGCTTGTATTTCGAGGGATATATAGATGGTTTATCTTACAATAGATTTCAACTGTTACAGCAACAACAACAAGGAAATGTAGAACCGAGACATCGCCTTGTTTTCCTAGTGTTTCCTCTATGGACTAACATGCTCATATGTTTGATAGCAGCGTGTAGTCAAATTGTAAATAGCCAAAGTACAACAATTTGGGCGTTTCGTACAAATGAACAGCCAAATTAATGTCATAAACTGGAAAATCACCGGAAAACAAAAATTTCCCTGGAAAACTGATGAATGCCTTTTGGTTCTGCCAAATTTTTCTTACTTATTATTAAGAATCCAATTGAATATAATTCTTGGAGTAATGGTGTTATTTTGTGTGACTTCCAGATTGGTTCTGCCTGTATAGCAGATAATTTGCATAAGTATGAATTTCTGAAGAAGCAGATTCTAGAGTATTACAAAATTTCAGAGATATACGTTTCTGACTTATTGAAAAGTCTGAAGTATAATGCAATTAGAAATCCTGTGGACACTATTCTGCATCAAATCAAAAAATCTACAGGTGGGTGATCTAGTATTCCGTATGAAGGCACATTTGGGTGAGTCACAATGGTTTAATCTAATGCCTAAAGCCAATAATGCTGGTGGAATGTATGGCACTACTGAAATTCATAAAGCAGGATATTCGATTAGCCTAAATAGTTGGCTTTAGTCACAAACCACCAACATAAGAGATATATGAATATGTAGTTTCAGTATTACAGCCAATTAGAGAAGGTCAAATTCTAGACTAACTAACTAATTCCCATGTAATGAAACATAAGCTAGAGGGAATTCAATTAGAAAAGGATGGAATATGATTAGCTTTAACATAACCAGTCTATATACTAGTAGTCCCATTAATGTAGCTCTGGAGGCTGTCAGGATTCAACTAAACATTATTCCTCACTCAGCTGAACTCAAAAGTAGGACTAATCTCTTGCTCGGTTGGTGAAATAATATTTAGGTGTGCATTTGTGTCTAACCTCCACTGTATTCAAATTTCAAAATAACCTACATGGTCAAACTAATGAGGTAGTAATGGGATCATCAATATCCACAGCAACAGCAGCAGCAGATAGACTGGAGCAAATAGCTCTTCGAACGCTTAATCCTGCTCCTAGTTTATGGTGGAGATATATGAGTAACACATTCAGTGTGTCGAAATCTGAATATATCTCTCAGTTCTTCACATATATAAACTCAATATCAGACGGAATTCTATTCGCTTTTGAATTATGAAGGGAACAAGATGAGTTTTCCGTGCTAGACTGTAGAATAAGAAGAAAACAAGACGGTGGATTAGATAATAACATTTATAGAAAAACGAGACACACACTCTAATAAATAGAACGACTTTAATTCATCCCATCCAGAATCTATAAAGATATACTTAGTTAAATGTCTATAAAATTGGGCCAGGAGTCTAACTAGTTAGTAAGCCAGAAGATTTAAATAATGAAATCAAACAAACAAAGCAAATATTACTATTGAATAACTACCCACCAGAACTTATTCAGAAATATACAAGGACCCATGGAAAAAAATAAGATTGACAATAGAAATGACAAAATTAACAAAAAATATTCAAGTGTTGGTTCGTAGGGATTTGGTTGATTGGTTACAGGATTTCATCATGAGCTGACATTAGTTAGAGAACCATTGGAAAACCTTCAGGGAGTACTGGACAGCAGTGACCATTAGGGTGCAGCAGGTCGGGTTTGAGGACAAATACTCGCCATGGATGATATTGGCTAGGTTTCGCGCTATGTCGTGAATTGGCAGAAGTTACAATTCATGCACTGGCCATTGGATCGGGTCCCAGTGGCTTAATGGTGTACGAGCTCTCCTTGTAACCCGAAGTTCCTGGGTTTGAATCCCGATGGGTACGTACTGATGAAGAGTCCCGAACTAGGACAACGGAAACAGCTGTCCAGTACTCCCTGGTTTCCCAATGGTTCTCTAACTGATGTCAGCTCATGATGAAATCTTGTAACAAAAAACAATATGGAATTCAAAACCTCAGTAGAACTTCCGTATAAAGAAGAAACATCAAATCCTCAAGTAGAATTCTCAATGAGGCTTTAAATGGTGTGTTATCTAAACCAACTAGCTCTCTCAGAGACAAATTCCGTCGGCTTAAAAGCTTCCATAGATTCAATTAAGATATATAATATAATTTACCAAATATCAGTTAATGAATATGCTGTCAATTACATAGGTTAAACTAGTACATAGGGATCAATTAGATTATTGGAACATACAAATTTAGTTAGGGCTAGAATGATTGAATCTGCTTAGTTAAATGATCTAGAAAATGGCTGAGCCAGTTGCATTGCAGTCAATTACGTGTAATCGCATAATGGAGTAGAACAGAGTAAAAATATAAAAAGGAATATAGTGGTCGGGTGGAACGAGAGGTTAATCACTGAACTGTTGTTCATCAAATCAAATCTGGACACGTGCCATCGAAATGATACGACGTCTATACAGGAGATTTCGAAGACTTAAATAAAGAATAAAGGATAGAGAGGCAAAAAATACGTATGTAAACCAGATTATGAAACCGAGTGAATGCTGACTAATATGGATATAAGTGAGGAAATGTGCTCGAAACGTTGTTATCCCCTTATTATTACAGTATCACTGTTTGTATTACATCAGATACATTTATCTAATATGGAATTACATTCTACCACAGCCCCCAATCAATTAAACACCTCACATGTGAAAAAGAAATGACTAAATGCCTATACCATAGATATAGAAAGTGATAAGGAGAAGAGTGAACGAGCAAAATACGAAATGTCAACCAGTGCGTCACCGTGTAATGCTTAAAATAAACCTATCTAATATGGAATTACCTTGCACCACAATCCCCAAGTCCTACACTTACATTAATTATTCATAAAACCGGCTCCCTTTATCAGTTTGTGCGTCGGTGGCACAGTGGTTAGGACTCTCGCCGACCATGCACATGGTCCGGGGTTCGAGCCCACGCCGGCGCACATCTGATATCTATGGTTGGCCTGCAAAATTTGGGCTACCGATATCCATGCTGAAAATTCCATACTTGTACCGAAAATACAGTGTGGAATCAAGCTGAAAATCAAGAAAAAAAAAAGAACAAAGAAAAATACTGGCCGATGACGTCAGCTAGTGTCGCTCTATATCATGACTTATAAGAAGTCGAAGTTCATGGGCCATTGGTTTGGGTCCTAGTGCGTTCATAGTCTACGAGATCGCCTTGTAACCGGAAAGTCTTCGTCTCGAACCATCGAGGTTTGCGTACTGTGGACAGTCTCAAACTAGGAGGAAACAGCTGTCCATTACTCCTAGGTTTTCCAATGGTTCTCCAACTAAATTCAGATCAAGATGAAACTCCCCTAGCCAATCAAAACCCTGCAAACCAACAGTTGAAGCAACAGATTTGCAGGACAACACAAGCTCGTTTCGTTTCGTGGATTCCCTTCAACTGTCCACACCCTAGTAAGTAACAAATGGTATAAGTTACAAAATTTCTCAACATCCTTTCCTCACAGTGACCTCGACTTATAGATAGAAAGCATAAGCAACATAATTCCAGAAATCATGTAGGTGGACAAATGATTCAGTGTTAAAAGACTAACTATTCATAGCACGATTAGACAGGAGGAGAGGATAGTTCAGATTCGACTTGGAAAGACAGGCTGACTAGAGACAATACAAGATCGAACAACAGGACGAATTAATACATAAAATGCTGTAGAGTTGAAGGGGTTGGAAGTGAATCGTAAAGCAACACTATGGAGACTTAACAGTGAGCTGAACTCAATAAGTGAAAATCAGAATCGAAATTTAGTGGAATGTTGCGCAAGAGATCGAAACAGAAAATCACACGAACAAAGCAATTGTAGTTACCAGGGTAGTGAGAGATTAGTCACATTATCTAAATGAAGGAGGACGTTGAATGAGTGACACAACACACTAAGGAGACTGTTCAATGAAAGCCGAATGCGAATTAAGGAGCTGACTGATGCTTCAAGAGCGACGTTGAGAAGATCATGTGAAGAGTCGATTGAAAATGGAAGACTAACGTTGATATATGGATTAGTTCATATTTACTAGAGAAAGAATTCGACGAAAAAGACGTAATGGGTTATCACAAATCACTTCACAATCATCAAATCATCTATGCACGATGAAAACCTGATACACAAAATAAGATCCGGATTAAGCTGTGGATGTAATTTTTGACTGAGTATGCAATGATTAGCAGATTCTCCTTGTGCTTTTAAATTTCTCACACGTATCAATTAAAATTTTTAAATGAACACAAAGCAAATTAGACAGAAAACACTAGAATAGTAGTCACGTGGAATCACGTAAACTTTGTGAAGTACAAAACATGATATCTAAGAGGTGAACAGAATTAGCACAAACAACCTTATCTATGTAGAGTATAAGGGAGCAATATATCCCTTCACTTGTGTATGAAATAATATCAACTTGAAATTCACGTGGGACAATTACACAAACATTCATTTAGGTTCAAGTTAAGTCATGCATCATCTTCAGAATTCTCTCTTGCTTCTTCTGTCAATTCGACTAAAAATAGCCTACGTTGCTTAGAAAACGAAAATAGCAAGAATTCCTAGAAACATACTACTCAGACTGATCCGAATCCATCGTAGTGTAAATTCACTTGGGGAAATCACACAGTGATACAATGATATGTACTGATTACATTTCAACCTCAATTTACTACTATTTTAAATTATTTAAAATCTGACTCCGCACTAAAATTATTCCAGGAAATTCATAACATCTACTGTCTGGTAACTTAAAATATATCACTGTTCACAAACATACCAATGCACTCACATAACTATCTAAATTCAGTTATATACTTCCATTATTTCTCATGTCTTCAATTTGTTGTCAAGCTGAAACGTGACTCACACAATGTCGTATTTACAACATAAAATGTTCAAAAAACATCATATAATACCTGAACACCTACGCCTATACACTCATATTATGACAAGCAAAATAACATCAACAGCTGAACACGTGAGCAAACTACGCCTAACAGTAGACCTCAGCAGAATTATTAATAAACTAAGCGGTATGCGAAATGAAGTTGAGAAACACAAATATCACATCGATGATAAAGCTAATGGGCTCCTAACTGAAGCACGAAAAACCTGCAAAAGCCAACTTTGAAAAAAAGAGAAACTCATGAATAAACTCCATCCAGACATTACTGAAAATAAAACAGGTAGTTCAATGAAGAGTCACTTTTTGGCAAATTCATTCACACTTAGTTGTACAATCGAAATTACATATTTACTTATTTGTGCATGTGTTTGTATAGTAGGATTGTCCGATGAGAATAAAAATAAGTTAGGGTTATTCTTGTCAAGACATTTCAAAAATGTGATGAGTAATCAAACTGTAACTAGGAGGGGGGGGGTGAAAATTGGTAAGAGGGCAATGGTGATTTGTTGTCAAAAACGTTTATTGGAACATAAAAAAATTGAATAAGCGGAATACAGTTACGTAATAGGATGAGTAGTTTAATGAGTGAGTTGTGAATAGGATGCATATAGAAACAAAGAAAATTATGGGATCATGTAAGAGTTCTAAATATTACAAATGTTATAGAGTTAGAAAAAGACAAGCGCACAAACATCGAGTCAGTAGAAGTCAATACTGTTGTTACCAAGATAGTAGAATTGGTTGGATGATTTTCTTCTGTACACATGACTCTAAATTCTCCAACTGTATGTCTAAGGCTTCAGGAGTACAAAGGTGATGAAAGCGTATTGCCTCCGGTAGGTTGTTCTTCACTTTGTGGATCACTTGGAAGGAGGTGCTTGTTGGAATGCAGTGACCAGTGCTGACGAGGTGTTTGATTATCACACTCCTTACCCAGCCGCCATTACCTTTTTGTAGCCATGCAGGGTAGTATTCTTGAACCCTTTTGAACAGGATTCGCATCGAAAGACCGACGTGCCTGGCGTCACAGAAACAGGTGAGCTGATGCAGGTGGCCCACGGAAGTGGCCAGATGCAAGATCTTGTCCTTAAGGCTTCTGAAGATGAATGGACGACTGTGGAACACTACTCTTAGGTTTGTTGTGAAGAATGTCCTTTCCAAAGGTCCCGAAATTCTTCTCTTGAGGCTATCGCCAGCTACGTCTCTTGAAATCTAGATACACGTAAAGTATCCTTTTTGAAACAAGTGATGTTTCATTCCTCTGAACCTTTGGTTTGATATTATTGTCGAAGAATCTTGGCAAGTATCCATTTTGGATGAAGGTTTCTTTCAGAAGATCCAGTTCTGCTTCCAGGGTATCAGGACTGCAGATGTGTTGGATCCAAGCGGCAAGGGATTTAATCAGATTCCGTTTCCTCTCAATAGGTACTCAGCTCCAGACATTTGTTAGTTGAACTTTTTAAGCAGGTTTCTTTGGATTCACCTTCTTAAGGTTCCTTCAGGTTGTCTTGTTATCTGCGCACTAAAATAGGGAATTTCGGATTCTCATTCTATTACTAGAGTGAATTTTATTGCCAAATGGCAACTGCTGGATAATTTTAGCAACTGATTTGTGTCGTAACTGTCGTAGAAAACGATGAAAATGTCATCTACGTAAAGGCAGGCTTAGTTAAGTGTCTGACAAACCGAGCAGGAGTACTAAGTAGCATACCAAAAAACTTCAGTGATGAAATGAAACAGATAGAAGAAGCGTTGGAGTTAAATAACTATCCCATGGAATTCATAAAGAAGACCACAAAAGGTCACTAGAAAACAAAAATAAAGTGAAACTATTAATGAAAACATAAAAAATAAAGGATTTAAAGAATCCACAGTCTTATCATATAAGAAGGGGATATGTGAAGCCCTACGTAGGATTCTTAATCAAGCAGGAATCGCGCTGGCATTTAAACCTACAAACTCACTGAAAGACAAGTTGTGTCAGCTAAGGGCTCCTATTGACTCGATGAAAAAATAACGTAATCCACAAATCACCTTGCAGCTATTGTTAGTTAGGTCAACCACACAGGTCCGACCAGTAGATCGGGAGTAGTCAGGTTATCGGAATGTAAGAATTGAGATAAGCATAGAACGAATAACCCCATGAAGGTGAATAGTTTGAACAAAAACTCATCAGCTGCAATGTATTCACTAACATACAATCATGGAACAGGGTAGAACAAAGCTACATTTCTAAAACTTAATTTAAGTGGATGGAGGGAGAGGATGATTACCGACCGAATGTTTGTTCATCGAATCCACACCTAATACATGCAGTAGAAATGACTCCACACCAATACCAGGGAAATGGAATATATTGCTACCGGTAAAAATCGATAGATAAAAGATAATGGAATTGTATAAACTAAGTGTTGGAGCCGACATGTAAACCTGAGACCGAGCACATCGGTCCAATAAATCGACGGAAAAATCTGAAATTCAATTAAATAATTAATATGACCTGTTGCACAAGAGGTGGCTCTCGTGACCCAAGTAGTCTAGGGGATAATGCTTCGGCGTCTGAAACTATAGGCACTGGGTTCGAGCCTCGGTGGGAACATCATCAATCACTGAGGAATGCAGGTACGAGTCCCAAATAAGACGAAATGCGCCTTATCCTGGATTCCACTGCTGGTCACCATCCACCAATTAACTTGAAGTGTTCGGAAGTTATACGAGTGCCTTGATTTGATTATGAGCAGTAATAAATTGTGGTTGAAACATCATCAGTAAATAATACTGTAATAATGTGTGATTTCATGAAATAAAAATTTATATTATGAGGAGATTGTACTCTATCACAGTCCCCAAGTTCTATCCTCATATCAATAGTCTGAAACCAACAAACACATTGACACAGAACAGATTTACCAGACGACGAAAAAAAAAGAAATCAGAGAGAGAAAACGTCATCTATCAGGTCAGAAAAATATGCACTAGCAATACAAAGGGACAGGAGAATGGGAAAGCCTCTGAAAACAATCATTTACACACAGGATTAACAGGGGAGACGATTAACAAAACCATAAAGAATTCTGAAATCCCGCTTCTTACTGAAGTCAATCCTGCTGAAGGTATTGTCTCTGGAATGACAGTGAAAGCATGACAGTCAAACACCACTATCAACTCAGAGAAAACAACTACACAAATTTCATCCCCTTTTAGGTACAAAACTTCCTTCATAATTTGTCCGTCAACCTGTTGGTCAATTCACCTATCTATGTGTCTGTTTGTCTTATTACTATTTCTACGCTTGAGAATTCATTTTAATTTTTATTATTCTATTGTATTGTATATCTGTGCTTTTTGTATATGTCATTCCTTTCACATTCTTATCATTCTTCTATTTAATTTGTATCATGATACTGAATTTCAGTTGTATATTTCTCTGCTCTTAGCTAAACTCTTCATCTTTATGAGGGCGTACAAACAATACGATAAGAAAATTGATGCGGATTTTATTCTCAGGCTGTTTATTTTTAAACACTAAACTCCAAAGTCCTCTTCTTTGTTTGGACAATAAACCTGTCCTTCTTTGATATCTTATCTTTGAGTTATCTGGACACCTGAATAAAGTTCAGGCGATTATCTAAGTTTGTCTTCTTTATGGAATTTGACTTGCAGTCTTACCTGTATTCATTATTGTTTACAATATATCATATCGTTGAACTGAGCAACGCATTCAATCACAAGACGTTGAAATACATCTCCACTAGACCACATGATATAAATAAATGATAAAATTGTTAACAAACAAAACTATATGAGTGTATGAGTTATTCAAGAAGGCGATTATAGTATATTTCTACTTAAAAATAGTTCACTCCACCGGATTTACCACCAGACAACCTCGGTATTACTCCTCAAAGCATATCTGACTGACGAACTGTTAACGTAAAGACATGAGAGATAACTGTGGAAATGATCATTCTATTACTCCTGACACAACAAAAGTAATATCTGATGGGCTATATTATCGAGATTTGTTTTCACTGATGTCGGTTATCAGGAGGTCAATTACAAAATCTAGAATTACTTTTATACTAAACGTGAGTTGAATGGCTTTTTGGTTTTTTAAATTAATGAATATATTTACACCATTTGTATTTTATCAAATAAAAACCTGCCAGTAATATGTATATATTATTGCCTTCTGAATGCCATATAGTGCTTCAACGGCCTACCTCCACTCCATGCCACTACTTTCAGCCTTTTCCACAACTGTCTACAAACTCTCAGTTTCATCTCCACATGACCTTCACCATGTGTGTCGGTGGCACAGTGGTTACAACTCTCGCCGACCATGCGCATTGTCCGAGGTTCGATCTCCTGCCGACGCACACCTGATATCTATGGTCGGCCTGCAAAATTTGGGCTACCGATATCACATGCTGAATATTCCATATTTGTACCAAAACCACAGTGTTGAATCAAGTTGTAATCAAAAAATAAATAAATAATTCCCAGTCTGTTGATTCCAATTGGGTTTCTACTAGATGGCCTGCCCTACATCTCTTCAGTGGGTGTGCAGTCCGTAATTTATGCTCGAAATGCTGTTGGCTGATTCACCACCGGAGTTCTATGATGTTTATCATTCATAAGTGGCCAACTGATCTTCACTATTGAGTGAAAGAAGCTGTTAAATTGAGAAAATCACTGTTTAACGGCCTACAGAATTCACCTGTCTCAAAATATCTGAATTTTAAGGAAATTTTTGAAAGATGTACACAGTTAATCGATAGAAATTAATGTTATTACTTTTGCAATTTACCTATCACTAAGCACAGATGCATTTTTTTATTAGCAGGGATCTCTGCTTCTTTGAGAAATATGAATTAGTGATACAAATGTCGGAATTCACGTGAACTAACCGTATCTATTTACGTAATACATGCTTAAAACACGAAGCACTTTCTGTCGGCTTTAATGGAAATTTTGATCGTGAAAATAGTCAAAAAAATAAGAATGGCGTAGTCATTTATCTTGGTGAAAATATTGAAAAATGCCTATGAATTTACAGTCTGTAGATTCGAATGTTGAAATATAGTAAAGTAATTGATTTCAGCCTGCTCATATCTCCATTATTACCTGCCATTACACACCAAGTGTCTCTGTTCTAATCTCCGTTCACTTTTAGTCTCGAATTTCATTAATGGAAGTTTTAATTTCTATTGTGAATTGCAATCCAGCAATTACAACTGTTGATAACTATAGAAACGAAGCACAGCTGTCACTTAATTCCAGAGATAAATGATATAAATTATTCAGACAAGATCGATTTGGCTCCAAAAAGAAATGTGGTGGTGAAGTTGGAATCTTCATCAGTCCCCAAATGGAGTGCTTCACATGATGTATGTTTTAGATTCTCTAGTGACGAAATTGTCTGTCTCGCTGTTAAATGTCAACCGAAATACCTGCCCAAATACAACTATATGTGCATTTCAAACATTTATATTGCACCTAGATGTAGCCACTCAGAACCATCTTTATTTGGTGATGATTTTACTTCACTGTTGCTGCTACCTCCTTTGGAAACTCCATGGCAGTAGTTGCTGTCGACTTCAATTCGTGTGACTACAGTTTTCTTACATCATTAGGAAATGAGAACATTATCAACATCTTATCACGACTTAAAAATACCCTTGATCTAGTGTTTACAAATGACTTCAGAATATTTGAAGCTCGGAAAAGAGCCCCACTAATTAATTCTGATCATTGTATCATACGTATATTGCCCAAAATATGTGGAGAACTGCACAAAAGAGCCTTCTTGAACCCTGGCAAGAAAACACAACATAGATGTTACTCCTATGACAATATACAGAATCGAGAAATTTTGTTAAATGATTCTAATTGGGACTTATTTACTGAACAAGCTGTAGATGACACAATCAAAAAAGTAACATCTTGTCTCAAATTCTGTCTTGATTTTTGCGGTCCAAATGAGACACTCTTTTTAAGATTTGACAGCTTCTCCTCTTCCCAGGTGTAAAAGCTTCGCCGAGAAAAAGAAGGGTTATGCAAAATGAAAGACAATCCAGGTGTTAAGATACCGACCGTCTCAATTAAATCACCAATACAGAGATTAAATAGTACCCATAATAGAAATTCCTTATCATGCAAAACCTCGTCCAAAATGTAGAAGCTATTTAAGGAAATCACCTGCGATAACCTAATGAATAATGATCCTTCTACAATTGATGCCAGTATTCTGAATAAATCCTTCATATGTCGTCCAGCTGATGATATAATCTCAAACACGACAAGTGCAAACAATGACCGCTTCTCTGATTTTAGCTCAAACGATATCTTGAAGTGTCTCAAACCCCTGAAACCTACCCAGTCTATTGGTTCAGATGATGTGCGAATTATTAGTCGTTTTCAGATCGTGGAAAACACCCATACAGACATTAGAAAGAAGAAAACACGAAGTTCAGTAAAGATGACGATTTTTTCGGTGATTTCGTTTTCAAAAGCTGTACAATCGCATTTAAACATATAGTTTCACATGGACACATAATTACGACAACGAATAAAAGGTGACAATTATTTTCTGATCAGCACCTCCCACAACATCTCAACTGATTCTTTCAAAGTAATTTACAAAGTCTACAGAAACCTACCAAAAGCAGTATGTTTCCGACTTCTGTGTACTCCAGAAGCCCTCGAAATATGCATCGAGAAGCCAGAGCTGTGTGTTCAGAAGAAATTAGTCCGACTTCCACAAATACCATGGACTTGGTTCGGTGTGTTCTATTAGCTTCCGTTTTTTCTTCTTTCGTTCTGTTTTTTTAATCTTTTTTCGTTAGTTGTGTGTGCATGTGTGTGATTCTTACTCCCTCTCTCTTCATTCACCTTACCCCATATTTTCAGTTATAAAAACAGTTATTTTAAATTTGTTTCCATGCTTTTTCTGTTCACATTTATAATTCGTTTAAAAAAAATTAACTATACTACAATTATATCCTAATCCTGTGTAATTTTTGTGTTTCTAAGGCTCTTGTAATCTATATTCACACCTCCTAACTTCCATTTCAAGTTAAAATTATTATTTCAATTTTGTTCCCATGCTCATTTTTACACACACTTGTTATCTGTTCTAATCCTGTATAATTTTGTTTCTAAGCCTCTCGTAAACCATCTATCTAGTTGAAAATAATTACCACCTTTTATTCGCTGTCGTGATTATGTGAAATCAAACAAGAAGTGTATCCATGTAAAACTATGTATTTAAATGCGATTGTACAGCTTTTGAAAATGAAATCACCAAAAAGATCGTCATCTTTGCTGAACTTCATGTTCTCTTCTTTCTAATTATTAGTCTGAATGAATGTGCCCACATTTCATGTAGTTCTCTCTATAGTATTTGCAATGAATCATTTTCCAGTAACACTGTGTCGGCTTCTTGGAAGGACATTGACATTGTTACTAAGCCTAAATTATAAAGTGGAAAAACTATTAGGTGACCTATTACTATTATTTCACCTTTATTGGAAAGACGGCTTTTGCTTGTCCTTGAGCTTCCGTTGAAGGCTTTTAACGACCCTAATCAATTGACTTATAAACATAGTAGGTGTACTTAGATACCACTGTCGTTTTATATCATAATGGTGTCTCTAGCATGCACAGAAGTGCCAAATATGTTCGGTGTGCCTTCCTAGATTACTCATCTGCCTTCAGCTCTGTACCTAGGTCTCTTTTGTCAAGCAAACTTGCTGTGTCACAGGCACAGTGCTTGATTACCAAGTGGTTGAATTCCTATTTTTCCGGTAGGAAGTAATACACTGGTTTACAATGAAAAGTCATCCACTGCTTCACTTATTCAAGCTGGTGTTCCTCAATGGGCTGTTCTCTCTCCTCTTCTATTTTGCTTCTTCTTCCATGACTCACCCCATTCTTACTAAGACAATTTTGTTGAATATGTCGATGATCTTACTGTTTATATGCCTGTCACTTCTCAGTCAGGCTGTTTCAAGATGAATAACTTTTTATCAGAAATTAGTCAGGAGTCTTCGTCAAATGGTCTTAGGCTTATTCCCTCCAAACTTCAGGGTGTTAATTTCCCTTTCAAACGCAAATGCGACTTACATGAACTGTTTAGTTCATATGGTTCCACTATCATAGATGCCACAGAAGTTGAAGTTGAATCGAATGTTGGTTTCCTTGGACTGTGTATTTCCTCTGATCACCTTTCCTGGTCTTCTCACATGATGTTAGTTTCCAGATAGAAGTTTCGTTTGACTTTCTTCTACATGAGGAAGAAGTTCGGACGATCTGGTAGCATTCCGTCCCTACTTTCTGACTCTGTTAATTTTTGTGTTCTGCCTACCCTTCTTTACTGTCCCCATTAAATCTTTCTTGGGCTAGTTAAGAAAGACGTTTTTGTAATACTGTGAAGGGCACTAGAAGCCGTCAGTAGGGCGGGTTGGGTGTCGGTAAACCAACTCGTTAATACTATTGTGGATAACTACATGGACTCCTGCAAGAAACTAGCAAATATATCTTGTCAGTGAGCATCCTCTGTATACACAGCTGTGTCTTTTCATCTCATTGGGTAGAACTAGAGGCAACTATAGAAGACTGTGTACTCGGACGAATTAGTGCAAAACCTCTCCAATACCCTATTTAGCTCACATGTTATGTGATGAGAAAGGTTTCAGGTAGGAGATGATCAACTTATTGCGGAACTCTAAGTAAACGGCATTTATACTGTTCTAATTACTACACTGTTACTTGATATTTTCACTTGAATTAATTTTATATTCAATTCTTATAGAAAAATATTAATAATGTAAATGCCGTATTTATGAAACAAATAGGAGGGAAGAAATGGAGGTGGATTGGTCATACTCTAAGAAAACCATCAAGTGACCTCACACATCAGGCCATCGCTCGAGTGGAACCCAAGTATGGAGCGGTGAGTTGGTCGTCAGTGCGTGGAGGAGGTCGTGTGAAGAGGAGACGAAAACATGTGGGCAGAAGTTGAGCCAGGTGAAAACGTTGATTGAGAAACAAACGCAATGAAGACGTGGGGCTGAAGCCCCATGTTCCTCCAGGAATTAAAAGAAACAATAATAATAATAATTACACTGTCACATTTTCATACTTGAGGGAAAACTATTCGCTGTCAGTATTAACACTGACTTAAATTGACATGATTTTCCTGAAACGTAGTTCCAAAGATTCAGCATGGTAGATATCCTTTCACAGATATTCCTGGAAAGATTTCAATGACTTGCCTACAAGTTTTCCTTAGAGACAGACTTTGATGGGTGCTTTCTGTAAAAGGGTTGAAATATACCATTCGTTCGCAGTACTGTTTACGGTGAAATCGATTTCATTTGAAATGTATAAATCAAAGTAACGGTTGCTTAGTAATTATCTGCCTACACTGTTCTACTTCAGTATTTATCAATTCATAATATCTGCAACAATTTATCATCCTAATAAGCCTTCGAATTTCGTTTTCCCGGCTTTTAGGTATTTGCAATTGTCGTCTTACAGTTGGGGATTGCATTCGGTCTAACGTGTCTGTTCACACAAGTGTATGTTGTATAATCCGTTAAATATCCTAAAACTGCATTGTTTCTATACAGAATAGAAGCCGCCTTTTTGATAAAAACCTATCCTATATTTGTGTGGGTTATCAGGTAATTGAAATCTTATCTACTGCACTTATTATCAATAACTATTGTATTAAACCACCTTCAGTTTTGTAAAACATCAACACTTACAACTAAATTTGCCACATTCAACACTATTGTCAAGGTCAGTGTGATACCCAACAAATCACACCCACTTAATTCGACCAGCAATCAGCATCAAAAATAAGATCCGGATTTTCAACTCCAATGTGAAGTCTGTCTGTCTGTCTGGATTCAACATAGAACTTGGCACCGAAGTGCAGCAGTTCGAGTTGCCACGTTCCAAATAGCACACAGAGGTAGACAAGAAGATGAGTGGAGAGAATTAATAGAGTTTGACAAGTATAGGAGTGAAACAGAATGGGTAATGGTAGAAAGGAATATGAAAGATTACAGAGATTGAATACATCTGCGCCATTGACAACGATTTTGAGCCATGTCACCTATTGTCTCCAGCCATTGATTCCTAGAGTCCCGAGGGCCCCAACCCGGGAGTCTGCATCTCCCTACCTGACTCAGTTTAACTGTCAAGGATTTCATGGATTGATGCCATGTTTTTGTTTGGCCACCACTGGCTCTTTTCCAACCTGAACCTATGTCAGCTAACAATGCCCGTCGGGGGAGGCGGTGGTTAGGAACATGCGTGAAGTCAGTGCTACTATACGGATCAGAGACTTGGCGAGTCATAAAGAGCATCTCAAACAAACTTCAAACCTTCATTAACAACTGTCTCCGCTCAATACTCAAGATCAGATGGCCAGAAAAGATCAGCAACAGGGATCTCTGGGAGCGAACCAATCAGGAACCGATTGTGAAACAAATAGGCAGAAAGAAATGGAAATGGATTGGCCATACGCTGAGGAAACCATCAAGTGACATCACTAGACCAGCCATCGCTCGAGTGGAACCCGAAAGGGAGGCGGCGAGTTGGTCGTCCAAGGGTGACTTGGAGGAGGTCATGCGAGGAGGAGATGAAAGCATGTGGACAGACCTGGAGCAGGGTGAAAAAGTTGTCAGAAAACCGAAGTCAATGGAGGTGCGCAGCTGAAGCCCTATGTTCCTCTAGGAACTAAAGGATACAATAATAATAATAATAATTCGACCAATGAAGCCTGTAGACAGTGAATATGAAGTAAATAAAGCGTCAGAAGCAAAACAATCGAAAATCCAGTTGTGTGAACTTAAAAGACGAAAGTATAACAGTCAAATAAACATTATCATCGATACCTTATTCTATAACACCAGTTGAAACTTTCAAAAAGACATGGAAGTAAATTAAATAATATGATGTAATCTATCAAATGACTAATAGTGACTGTAATTATCACAACTGAGTAGACTAGGGCATAATTAAAAAGCCGCTGCACATAACGAGACACCTGAATTAGATACCGAATTAGGCTATTCCCTCGCAATAGTTTCAAGTCAACTAGGTCACAAAACTATCCTCAGTGTCTGTACGACCCAACTCCTTATTCTCATGCAGTCAGAGTTCATCCTTGCTTAACCTTTCTCGCCAACAGGCAATCTGATCTCCAGTGTCGGAGCATCGAACGTGGAAGGTATTGCCTAGACTATATATATATATATATATATGAAGTATACTACAGTGGGGCATCATATTCATGTAGACCTATCTAACCGTGAACAGAACCTTACAATTTCACTATCTCTACAACTTCGTTTTTAATATCTACTTATTTCCGGAGAACCGTCGACTTCCTAACCTCTTCATGCTAAACACTAATTTTTCTTCATATTATATTATTTATCTACAGTGGGATACAATTTGTTCTCGAAATTGTATGGGCCCTTGTGAGACCAGTCTCGAGAGTATTCCCCTGGAATCTTCTCTACCTGTTACTTATGGTAAGCGATATTTTTTGAAATCTTGTTGGAATTTCCGCTTGTTAACGATAATAACTCAATATCGCAGATATTATTTCTGTCAGGTGATTGTGAAAACTTTTCAGTCAACACTATTCTACTGAAGGATGAACACAACACAAATGTAAATACAACTTCAACTTTCATCGATACACTTTTGTTCATTTCTACGATGAGAATGGATGGATGATGGAAAATGATTTCATGGATGTTGATATTTCGTCGAGACTACTTCTTTTAAGAGACTTAAGCGTGTGTTTAGACGAAACTTTAGGCGATCTACTGACAACTGATTCTTTGAGATATGTTGATGAGCTTCGATTATGTAAGATATGATTTCATATGGGAGATGTGACTTATATTCGTAATAACACTTTTCTACTTTCTATATTGTTTACAATGTATTTAGTGTAGAAATGAGTAGGTTGTATTTACTGGTTACTGGACTGATGTCTACTATTAGTGAATACAAAATGTGTTACTTCAAACGCTAACTAGTCTATTTATAGTGGAGATTGTCGCTTTTTTTTCTGAACTTATTGATGTCTTACCAACAGGTTTCTCTTACTTTCTATTTCACTGCAGACGCTATTATCCTCCATAATAATGGGATATGAATCCGAGCCATACAAGGAAGATATTCCATTTATTGCATTCACATTCATGTGGACGGTGTTACAAGTCATTGTAGTATTTTCAGTATTTGTATTGAATGATTTCACAGAAAGTTTACTAAGCAGGATAATAAATATCGTTTTTGCTGTGGTAATATTGGCCGGTCAGATTGCTTACTTTTTGAGAAACAGAACTACAGTAAGTGAAATTTTGATATGTTCTTAAATTGAGTCTCTGACATTTTAAAATATACATATAAACGAAATATTTTCATATTAAGTCATAAGAAAAAGAAGTTAACAGCTAAGAAAACTTTTTTCTTTTCGACGATTCATTTTCATAAGCTGTACAATTTAGACAAAGCAATAAGAAGACGTAATTTGTCTGAATCATGTTGTGTTGTATTCGCACAACACATTTCGAACAATCTGTCCTTCAATATGTCCTGTTAACCTGACCTTAGTAGTCTATTTTGTCACCTCTTAACTGTTTATTAATTTCATATATATATATATATATATATATATATATTCCTATGACAAGTCCGTGTGATGATCAGATTGTTCGAAATGTGTTGTGCAAATACATTACACGATCCAGACAAATTACGTCTTCTTATTGCTTTGTCTGAATTCACAAAGGGAACTAATTGTTTTAAAGCTGTACAATCCCAATTATATTTAACAAAGAAATCGTAAGACCGATCAGATACTGGTAATGTTCGCCCTCGAAAAACGTAATACTTAATCTATGGTGTAGTCCAGTAAGCGAGACTTAGTGGAAGTTGAAAGAGGCAGAAGTTGGCATGACGCAATAAATGCGAGAAAATGACTCATCGATACGACTGTGTGGAATGGACAAGAACTAATAGAAAATCGATGAAGTCTTTTTATATAAAATCTGTATGACAACGCAGTTTTATCAATAAACAGTGATAGAGCGTCAGTAAAAAGTTTCAGCATTGTGGAATAGATCAAATAAAGTATAATTACATTTCAATAGTTTACACACAATGCTAAGTTTTGTTATTGGTAATTTTCAGTTTTCAGTTTTCAATTTATTTAGGATAGTAGGCTATATGCCTGTGTTAATCCTTTCGATTTATTGCATACAGGAGGTCCAATCTCGCCTTGAATGAATCAACGGATGGCGCTGATACGACGTGTTCCGGTAGGGAGTTCCAATGGTTCACAATTCGATGCGAAAAACGGATTTCCAGACGCAGACGATTCGACCGTGGTTTTTGAACCTTGAGGTGATGTCCTCGCAATTGGTTGGTGCTAGAAGGAAGAAATAATTTAGATAAATTAGCTCCAAAATCATTTCTTAGGATACGGTATGCTAGTATTAGGTCACCCCTAAGTCGTCTGTATGACAGTGGAAATAAACCCAGTCGACTTAACCTCTCCTCATATGACAGGGTTGAGAAACCCTTTATTAGCTTAGTTCCTACTCTTTGCACCCTTTCTAATAAGTCTATTTCGTATTTGAAACACGGGCTCGCTGCCTGGATCCCATATTCCAAATGAGGTCTGATATAAGTCGGATATAATATACGAAATATATCAGCGTCAAAGTTCGCAAAAGCCTTGCGTATGGCCCATAACATTCGAAAACCCTTAGTGGCTGCAGTTCTACAGTTTGTTGCTGTTTTCAAGTCATGCTGCACAACCACTCCCAAGTCCTTGTACTCAGTGACCACTGGGAGAGTAATGCCATTCATTGAGTAATTGTGCACGTGACTATGGGATACATGCATAACTACACTCTTGCTTAAGTTAATCTCCAAGGCCCAGTGCTTACACCAATCACTTAACAAGTTTAAATCTTCCTGCAAAGCAAGTTGATCACTGTCATCGTGCAAAGCCCTCCATATCTTGATGTCATCAGCAAACAGTAAGCAGGATGACTTAACTACCGATGGAATCTCATTAACATAAATCAGGAAAAGAAGTGGGCCTAGAATTGTACCCTGAGGAACGCCACTCTTAACCGATTCCCATGTTGATAAAACCCCGTTAACTCGTACTCTTTGTCTTCTGTCCTTTAGAAAGTCTTGAATCCAGTCGGTAACCACTTTATTGATTCCCAGACTACCTAACTTTACTAGAAGACCTGAATGAGAAACCCTGTCAAACGCCTTGCTAAGGTCTATGAATATGGCATCCACCGGTATATTAGCATCAGCTGAGCTTGCCCAACTTTCTCTGGCCAAAAGAAGGTTGGTCAAGCAAGAATGACCTGCTCTAAAACCGTGCTGTTCCACAGCGAAAAGTTTGTTCCCTTCAATGAACTGAATGATAGCATCACGAATTATTCTTTCTAGTAGTTTAACAACAATACTGGTCAAACTAACAGGACGATAGTTCTGAACTAAGTTTCTAGATCCGGTTTTGAAGACCGGACTAATGATGGCATCTTTCCAGTCTCTTGGACATTTAGACTGGTCCAGAGACATATTGAAGATTACCGACAATGGCTCGGCTATGCTTTCAGCCAATGCTGTTAATATACGTGGGTGGAGTTCATCAGGGCCACTGGACTTACCAGGATTGAGCCTTAGAAGCCACTTTAGGACAGTATCCTTTCCAATGTATAAGGGTGCCATTTTCAAGTTACCTTTTGGAAAATTTACAAAGCTGGTATCAATATTATCAGAGAATACTTGACTAAAGTGCTTGGACAAAGCCTCAGCCTTAGTCAAGTTATCCTCAGCCATGTTTGTCTGGTCATCTTCAAGCATAAGAGGTGGGATAGCATCACTCTTACGTGTTCTTCTCTTGATATATGAGAAGAGTCTTTTTGGGCAGCCTGGTGAACTTTTAACTAACTGGGTTTCGTAAGCTATCCTTGACTGGTGGATCAAAGTTTTACACTGGTTTCTGGTTTCACAGTATTTCAGCCGGAACTGCTGTAGCCCAGTAGAAACAAAGAGATTCCAGAACCTTTTTCTCCGTCTCAGGAGTGTTATAGCTTGTCTATTTATCCATGGTGGCCGATTTGTTGGCCTTTTAGGAACCCTCCAGGGGATGAGATCAGTGGTAACCCTCTCAAGTGTATTCTTAAATCTATTCCATTCATTGTAAATTTTGCTCGAAATATTACCAATAACAGAACTTAGCATTGTGTGTAAACTATTGAAATATAATTATACTTTATTAGTAATAGAGTGATGATAATAAAATATGGATGATGGGAATAATAGTGATAGTAAAATAATAGTAGTAATAACAATAATAATAGTGAACCTACACAATCAGAGGAAGGATGAGAAAGTTGCAAAACAAAGGAAAATTATTCAACCACTTCCATTGTCATGGCAACAACTCTGTTGACTTGACTTGACTTTTGCTTGTTTGCTTATTTTTTCTAACTACTTAAAACTCTTACGTAATTCCGTATGTTATCTTGTTTCCACCCTAAGCACAACTCTTTCATCAAACTTTTCATGATATTACATAACTCTTCTTTAACAGTCATTTGTGACAACTCATCAATTCTGTTACTACTCTCTTATTGGATGGGAGACTTTATCATGATCTGACATCAGTTACACAACCACTGGAAAATCTGGGAGTACTGGACATGCGTTTCGTCCCAGTTTGGGACTGCTCATCAGTACGGTGGGTGTTTACTGTGAAGAGGCCTAGACCAGGATGAAACAGCTGTCTAGTACTTCCAGGTTTTCCACTGGTTCTCTAAATGATGTCATCTCATGATGAAATCCTGCACCCAATCAAACAAAATCCCTACGAAACCAATACTACCCTCTTATATCAACATCCAGATACTCTGAATACCTCTGTATTACATAACTCCACGAAAAACTTACTAACTGTATTTTCGTTTGATGAATTTAATGTACACACATGCAAAACAACCATATATATTTGCTAGTGTGCAGCTATGAAAATGAATTCGCTGAAAAGACACTTATCGCTGAACTGCTGGTCTTCCCTCTATTAAGTTTCGGAACTATTTCCGGTCGAAGGTGAAATTAATAAAATTACAAAATGTAATAAACATGAAGATCGGATACAGAATACAGTAAGGTAGATATAGGTTGTAGTATTATCCTAGAAATACTACAGGTCAAGGGTCACATTAGTAAAATTACATAATAGATGGGTGGGAAAGTTCTAGCCTAGAGCCACCTTGATAAAATTACAATTAGGAGTTAAAATGCCATAATAAACAGGTGGCGGCTGAATAAAACTCGTGCGTCGGTGGCACAGTGGTAAATTGCTCGCCAACCATGCACACGGTCCGGGGTTCGATCCCCGGCCGACGCACTCCTTTACCTCACTTAGCCAGAAATAATGCTGGTAACGAGGAAAGGTTGGGTATGAGGCTAGCAACCCCATCCTGTAAAATTAAACAGTGCTGCATAAACTTCAAGCCACTAGCTTGAGGCCCTATGTTCCACTGGGAACGTAAAGGAAAATAATGGATAAAACTCAAACATACTAGCGTCATAATTACTGAGGCGATTGAAATGTTGTGCAATTAAGGGTTAGAAATGTAGAAATAACAAAATGTACAAGATGGTTGCATTAAAAATCTAGTGGGATCATAACTAATGTGACGATTAATTGTTTATGCAAATAAGGATTAAAATGTAGAAATAATAAACTGACAAAACAGACAGGAAGATCGGATATGAAAATATGGTGGTGTAAATAAGGATTAAGAAAAACTTGAAAATAACATGAATAAACAGGAAGTCTGGATAAAAAAGACAATGGGATAGTCACTATTAGAAGAATTACCTGTGTTATGATGGCCACGGTACGGACAAGGGTTGAACGTATTTCTTTTGGATACATAGTGTGGGTTCGAGCTTTTCGATGGCTAGTACCTCGGCTATGCCCAGATGTCTTGATTTTACTCTCGTTGTTAGGTTTGATGGAATATTGTATATGATTTCGAAGGAATTTTTGAACTGCTTTGAATCTCTTGAATTGACTGAATGTTCTGTCACGAACTATATACACATTTTCGTTCTCTTTTTACTAACCAGGCTGGGTAGTGTTCACGAGCGCGTTTTTCAAAAATGTGATGAATAATCAAATTGTAATTAGCCGGGGAGGGAGGGCTGAATGGTGGTGGTGAAAATTATTAAACATTGACAAGGGTTGTGCGGCGTGAATGACACCAAAAGATACAGCCTCGGGAATACAAATTATTTGGAAGCTTAC